AGTGTGAAGAAAGGCTCTTGGAATCTACAGGCCACTTGGTGAGTTTCGCTTTTATCTTAAGGAGAAAGCTACCCAGGATGCACTTTATACGTGTATGAAACTGACAAACAACAAATTCAATAAGTGTTAAAAAGAAAAAAAGGGCCAGGCCGTGGCGGCACACACCTTTAATTCTGGAGGCAAGGCCAGGCAGATTTCTGTGAGTTTGAGGCCAGGTTGGTATACAGAGCAAGATCGAGGACAGGCACCAAAACAACACAGAGAAACCCTGTTTCGGGGGGAAAAAAAGAAAAAAGAAAAGAAAAGAAAAAAGGAAGGGAGGGATATATGTCAGTGGTGGAACGCGTGCCAGGCTCTGGGTATCCTGCTCCTGACACACAGGCACGCACAAACACACCACTGGACAGTCTAAAGCAGGGAAAGACGTGATAGATTGACTTTCTAACAATCACAGACTGTGGAGAATGTCTCTAAGGCTGCCATTGTCACCAGGCTAGAACTGATGGTTATTCAAAGGAGGATGGGATAGCAGAGATAGAAAAAAAGAGGTGGGGATGTGAGAGCCATTCTAAGCCTGGTGATTAACTGCACACGTGTGGAGGGTCTATAGGGTGGGATAGCTAGAAGAGGCCTGTGCTCCTAATTTACATAATGAGCTTAAGGTAGTTGCTATGCACAGCCTGGAAGATTCTGGAAAGGGTGCAGGCTTGAGTGGAAAGGTACTGAGTGAAGTTCTGACGTCCCCTTGGATGTCAGGATGCAACAAGCCTACCCTCCATAGGTAGTCCGCTCCTTCCCAGGCTACTGGTCCTTTGGATCACCTGTCTATATCCATCATCCTTGTTCTATCCTCTGAATGACTCCCACTTACCCAGTTTAACAAAATGCTGGCTGCGGGCTCCTGAGGCCAGGGCTCTGGCTCCTTTACTTGTTATTATACCTTGTTCTGTTTGCTTGGGACCTAGTGGGTCCTTTATAAATATTTGTTAAAAAGGGGAACACTCGCCGGGCGGTGGTGGCGCACGCCTTTAATCCCAGCACTCGGGAGGCAGAGCCAGGCGGATCTCTGTGAGTTCAAGGCCAGCCTGGGCTACCAAGTGAGTTCCAGGACAGGCACCAAAGCTACACAGAAAAACCCTGTCTCGAAAAAACCAAAAAAAAAAAACAAACAAACAAAAAAAAAAGGGGAACACTCGGAATGACAAAGTAAGACGACAACACTTCCTTAGATCACAGTACCGGTAGCTGTGTTTGACGGTTTGTAAATATTTTAAAAACCAATTCAAAGTGGATCAAAGACCTTAATTTGAAACCCGAAACACTGAAACTTCTAGAAGAAAACATAAGGGATACCCTTCAAAATATTGGTGTATGCAAGAACTTTTTGAATAAAACATCAACAGCACAGAAACTAACCATCCTCAACAGACATGACTACGTGAAAATAAAAAGTCGCTGCACAGCAAAGGAAACAATCATTTTCCCCCCCCATTCTCTGTGTATGCCGGGCTGTCCTGAAACTCACTCTGTATCCCAGACTGGCCTAGAACTTACATAGATCTGTCTGCCTCTGCCTCCTGAGTCCTGGGATTAAATGTGCACACCACTACTACCTGGCATGATTTTTTTTTTTTTTAATTTTCGAGACAAGATTTTTCTGTGTAGTTTTGGTGCCTGTCTGGGATCTTGCTCTGTAGACCAGGCTGGCCTCAAACCCACAGAAATCCGCCTGGCTCTGCTGGGATTCAAGGCGTGCACCACCACCGCCCGGCCCTGGCATGAATTTTTAAGATTCATTATACAGTAAAGAAATACTACTGCAGCTGCCTTAAGATGCGCAAATTTCTCTCTCCCAACTCCCTAGGGTCCCAGGCATCACTTGGATTACTGTGGGGGAGGGGCACCTTTGGATTGGGCAAAGATTTAGATTTGGAGGAAGGAAGGGCAGGAGGTTGGGGCAAAGTATACTCAGACAAGTAGCTAAAGGGAACGGGTGAGTCTGTGGCCCTCCAGCTCCAAGGGCTTATCTGGCCTCCTCTTGCACTGCCTGAACTTGGGATCTGCATGTCTCTCAGCCACCAGGACTAGCACCATCGGCTGGGGAAGGTCAAGGAGATGAAGTAGTTCTCTCAAGGGCATGAGCAGGTGGGGCTGAGTGAGAGGGCAAAGATTAACTGAGAAATCTGAGGCTGGAGACATGGCTCAACAGATAAGGGCACTACTGCTCTTGTAGACAAACTGAGTTTCATCGCCAGCCCCCTTTACTGACTGATTACAGTCGTTCATGACTTCATTTTCAGGGGATGCAACCAAGCCCCTCGTCTGGCCTCTGTGGGCACCAGGCATGCACTTGAAGCACACACATATAAGCAGGCTAATATTCATACACATAAAATAAAACTAAATAGCTGGGCGGTGGTGGCGCACGCCTTTAATCCCAGCACTCGGGAGGCAGAGCCAGGCGGATCTCTGTGAGTTCGAGGCCAGCCTGGTCTCCAAAGCGAGTTCCAGGAAAGGCGCAAAGCCACACAGAGAAACCCTGTCTCGAAAAAAACCAAAAAATAAATAAATAAATAAATAAATAAAAATAATAAAAATAAAACTAAATAAACCACGAGCCAAGCGTGGTGGTACATGCCTCTAATCCTAGCTCTTGAGAACCAGAGGCAAATGGATCTCTGAGATTTGAAGTCATCCGGGTCTATAGTGTGCATTTCAGGACAACCAGGGCTACATCCTACATATATACATTTATTCCCTGGAATGTCAGATGTTATCCCAAGGTTTGGGTTTTCGGTGGTGGTAGGCAGGGAGCCCTCTCCAGGGACCCTCATGTTACCCTCTAAACACACAGGGCTTGCACTCTTATCTCTGTAGAAAGAAAGACTCCCTGAGACTGAGAGTCACGTCTGTGTCCGGATCCTGCAGAAGGTGTGTGGTGATCTAGCAGATCCGAGGCAGGTACTGCACCACAACGCCAACATCAGTGGCCGTCATGTCTGCAGAGGAAAGCTGGGCAGAGAGAGAGTGCAGTCTTGAAAAGTGCAGAAATCGATGGTTGCTGACTGGTCTGGCTGACTTTCAACCTGAAACATCCTGACGTGGAGATGCCATTTCGGAGGTAATTATCTGAACGGATTGATCTTCGTCTCTCCCACTCTTCCACTCTGGAACTCCTCCACTCTCAACTCTACTCCTCCTCACTTAAGTAATTCTGAGGGGTTTTCCAATGAGTTTCATTTTTTCCAGAGTCTTTGCTGACCATTCTCCCCCTACCCACCCCCTCTTTCTCTCTCTCCCCCCACTCTCTTCTCTGTTTTTCTGTAGCCCAGGCTGGTCTTGAACATATCACATACCTGAGGCTAGCCTTGAACTCCTCATCCTTCTATCTCAGCTTCCTAAGGGCTAGGATTGCAAGTGTGTCCTCGGGCCTAGATAGATTTGCTCTTTTAAAAATAATTTTTAATATTAAAAATGTCCTTACATTTCTTGGTGTATTTCTTTATTATTTCTTGGTGGTGTGTATGTGTAGGTACACATGTGTGTGACATGCCTGTGGAGGTCAAAGGATAACCCAAGGGAGGCGGTTCTCACTCTTCACTGGGTGGTCAGTTTTGGTAGAAAGCACCTTGATTCTGGGCCACCATCACAGGACCTGGGTTTGCTGTTTTTTTAATTCTTTTTTTTTTTTTTTTTTTTTTTTTTGGTTTTTCGAGACAGGGTTTCTCTGTGTAGCTTTGCGCCTTTCCTGGATCTCGCGCTGTAGACCAGGCTGGCCTCGAACTCACAGAGATCCACCTGCCTCTGCCTCCCGAGTGCTGGGATTAAAGGCGTGCGCCACCACCACCCGGCTGTTTTTTTTAATTCTTACATTTGTATTTTTTTGTTTTGTTTTTGTTTTCCCCTTTGGGGAAGGAGGACTCACGCCACAGTGCACATGAGGAAGTCTGAGGAGAGCTTGTGAGAGTCTATTCTATCCTTCCATCATGTGGGCCCTGAGGATCAAACTCAGGTTATTAGGCCAAGTGTGGTGGCGCACGCCTTTAATCATAGCACTTGGGAGGCAGAGGCAGGTGGATCTATGGAGTTCCAGGCCAGCCAGAGCTAAAAAACAAAAAAACAAACAAACAAACAAAAAACCCACAGTAACAAAAAAAATTCAGGTTATCAGTCCTGATAGCAAGTATTTTTATCTACTGAGACATCTCCCTGGCTCCTAGGTTTGTTTTCTGGGCACAGAGGATCTAATAACACTTCAGTTATTTGTAGGTCACAAAGAGAAGGTGCTAGCCTGGCCTGGTATGTAGTACACTTCCATACTCGCAGGTCTAGGTCCTAGGCCACAGAGGCAGGAAGATCAGGAAAAATTCAATGCCAGCCTCCACTACATCCAACCCAACTTCTCTCTCTCTCTCTCTCTCTCTCTCTTTCACACACACACACACACACACACACACACACACACACACACACACACACACGAGCAATAACAACAAAACCCACAAAACAAACAGAAAGAGAGAAAGAGAGAGAGAGAAAAAGAGGGGGGAGGGAGGGGGAGAAGCGGAGGGGAAGGAGAGGCAGAGAAATCAGTAACAGGAAGCCCTCTCAAGTCCAGGCCTCCACAACCCACACCTTATTGCAAACCAGGATGCCACCGGAGTCAAGAGAAATGGCTCAAAGCAATCACACTCACAATAGACTAATGAAATCATTTGCATAGCCATTTATTCCTGTATAATAAGGATAGTGTTCTGAGACCTAAAATCTCAATGTTCTCTCCCCAGTGAAGCTCCTCTCCTCTGCTGGAAGACAGAGTCTATCAGCAAATGACTGGGCAAGCTTGGAGTCAGTCTCGAGGACTACTTCACCTGGCCATGGTATTACCCCAGTGACCAGACCCATATCAAACAAAGCACCTGCCAAACCCCACATTTAAAAAAAAAAAAAAAAAAAAGGAAAATTCTTTGTGCTGGGCATTGAACCCAGGGCCTCAAGAATGCTCCGTCATGCTGCAGCTGCCATGTCCAATTTTTTCTGCTTTGGTTTGTTTGTTGAGATGGGATTTCATGTAGCCCAGGCTGGACTCCTGATCCTCCTGCTTGTCATTCCCAAGGGCTAGCATTACCAGCATATGCCAGCCACCTTGCCAGGCTCCAGTCTTTGCTCCTGTTTTTCTGACTGCAATGGAGATCTCATGCAATGTTCTGTCTTTGCTTCTCATTCTCTTTTCCCCTCCCTCCCCATCCCTTCGTTCCTCCTTTTCCTCGCTCCTTCCGGATGTTGCTTTACATGCTGTCCCCACCCCGTGATTCTCCTCTGCCCTGCCTATCCTTCTGTCTCACTGCACCTCTGAAGACTCGACCCCCTCTTCCCCCCAGTCTCTGCCTCCCTATTGCTGTCAGCCTGTCTGCCTCTCACTGCAGCTGCCCATCTCCAGTTCTACACACTTCCTGCTTCTATACAGCAAACCCTCTCTCCTGCCTCCGCCCCTGCTTCTCGGTCGGTCCCCTCTCTGATTCCCCTTCTCTATCTCCACCTCTCTCTCACTCTGTTAATTTCTCCATTGGCCACTACCACCTCCGTCTCTCCCGAGTCTGCTTTCAATGTTTTGATGTCTAGACTAGCTGGGCCTTCCTCTCTTGGGGTCCCTTTCTGTCCCGTTTTATTCCTGTTTTTCCTGCTTTCTTGGTGATCATTCCATCAACACTATGATCCGGCTCCTCTCAGCTTCTGTAACAAGCTTTTTCAATATGTCTGCTGAAGCTTTGCTCTCCTTACCCTCAAGCTCTCACTGCCTGGCTTCTCTATGGGGTTTAATCTTTCTCTCTTCTACCCAGACCGCTATCTGTGCACATCTGTCTCCCTTATCCTCTTTGTCTCTCTCTCCCTCCACTTCTTAGCATCGTCTTTTTTTTTTTTTATGGTTTTGGTTTTTTCATTTTTTCAAAACGGAGTTTCTCTGTGTAGCCCTGGCTGTCCTGGATCTCACTCTGTAGACCAGACTGGCCTCAAACTCACAGAGCTCTGCCTGCCTCTGCCTCCGGTGTGTTAGGATTAAAGGTGTGCACCACCAATGCCTGGCCTTAGCAGCGCTTTTTAAAATCCCCTCCCCCCTGCCTCCTGTATCCTTTCTGAGGGTGACTAGGGGTTATCGCTTTTTTTTTCCCCTTTGGTTTTTCGAGACAGGGTTTCTCTGTGTAGCTTTGCGCCTTTCCTGGACTCACTCTGTAGCCCAGGCTGGCCTCGAACTCACAGAGATCTGCCTGCCTCTGCCTCCGAGTGCTGGGATTAAAGGCGTGTGCCACCACCACCGGCCAAGGGGTTATCACTTTACTGTTCGATACAACAGTAACCCTAATCTGCTCCACAGTTCCTGTAACCTGGATGTTCCGACTAGAAAGGGAGGAGACTGCATGTAACAGGAGACTAGCTGTGGAAACAGGAGGAGAGAGCCTTCAAAAGACTCCAGAAGAGGGTCAGTCAGCTGTCCTGCCCCTCTGTCTCTTCTCCCCTGCTGGGCCTCTGCCTCAGTGCTCAACACAACCCAGAGCCTTAAAAAGCTTTGCATTGGGTGATCACACTGGGTATTCAGTCCAGATGGTTCAGTCTCTTCTGTGGCTCCTGGCTCTGTGCTGCCTTAGGAGAGACATCATGTTCATCTAAGAATTTACATTTCTTTAAAAAGGTCAGAAGATACATAAGTATTAGAAAGGCTGTGTGCAGCAGAGTAGGGTTGAGTACAATCCTAGTACTTGCAGTCTCACCCAGAGGATGGGAGGTATCAGCAATGATTGCAGTGGCCTGGCTTCTGTCTGTCCCTGGCAACTGCCATGCCCATCCCTCCTGGCAACAGATAATGTTTCTTGTGCTCTCATCTCACTGCCAGAATTTGATCATAAATGGGATCTCTCTGATTCTAGAAGGACCTCCTGTCCCATTGTCTGTCCTTACGCTGGAGCAAAGGAATTCACTGAGTGGTAATCGAGGTTCCCATGAAGCCACTAACATTCACATTTCTTCTTGGGTCTTGGGAAGGGGAGAGAAGTGAGTTAGCTGGAAAAGGTCCTGAGATGCTGATAATACAGTCTAGCCCTTACTACACAGTGGACTATACAGTGAAGGCTACCATCTCCTCTTCCCGGCCCCAGTCCCCCAGGTCTGGCAGAAGAGGAAGCCTCCACTTCTCTAGTCTTTCAGATTGAGAGTGGAATTGTTCCTGGTGACAGGCTCACCATCATGCGTCTTTATCTGCCGAATCTCCTTGTGCACAGCGATAAATGAGTTGGGCCGAGACTGCAAGACATCCCTGATCAGAATTCGGATACCCAATGAGATGCTCATGGTACCCACAGTGACCAGCCCAGTTATACAAAGGATGACCAAAGCAGGAGGCACCTGGTAGTGCTGCCGAAACAACCACAGCGTCATCCATCCTAGAGGTAGAAGGCGGAAGAGGGCCAGAGTGGTCAGGGTGGCCCAACTGGTTACTCTGAAGGCCCAGGATGAGGCCTTATGGGAAAGCAGCAGCAGCTTCCGCAGATGCAAACAGATGGAGTTCAGCTCCAGAAGCAGAGATACCATAGCGAAGCCCACGTAGTGGCCCGACAGAACCGCGATGCTCAGGCAGCTCACTACCTGGGGGTGAGGTTCAAAGTCAAACCTTTGCACGACCTGTGCCCGTCAAGTCCCGCCAGCCTAATCTCTATACTGGGGATGCACAAGCATTTTGTAGGACTCCCCCCAAACCTGACCTTTCTGCTGACCCTTATCTAGGACGCATGAGCAGCCTTCACCCAGAGCCTGTCTCACCCTGGAGCTACACTATTTGCATAACACACTCCAGCTTCCATTCCTGGCTTTTTCTCCTCATTCCCACATCCTATACTATGACTCCTCCCTCTCAGCAAAACTGTATCCGGGTTTTCATGACCAGCTGGATGTTTGTGGGGGATCCAAACTCGTTGGGTAATGCCCAGACTCCAAACTGTGGCTAGCAGTCAAAACCTCCCTCCAGTTCAGTCCAAGACGGGGAAGATAGGTTTTCAGGGGACTTTGTGGGAAAGTCAGAGGACAGAAGACTGAAGAGGGGTTGGGAGTGCTTCCTTTCTGTCTGGCGTCTCCCTTTCAGTCTCACCACCACATGGTGACAGAGAAGGTCCCAGGCCTGCGCCAAAGTCTGATTCCACAGCATGTCAACTCCATCCGCCAGGAAATAACCTGTGGGCATGGGGGAGGATTTTCAGGCTCCTCGATGGTGCACAGCCTAGAGAGGTGTCTCAAGTCCCACTTTTCCCAGGTCCTTAATCCCTCACAGCAAACCTCCAGCAACATCTGCTCCATTCCAAAGCGGGGGAGGGACCTAGAATTCTCATTTCAACACTGCCTTCCGTGGCCCAGCCTTTTCTAGACACTCACCCACTGACACTGCTACCAGGACCACTGCCCACGATGGGTGGCCATGAATCGGGTCGGTGACCATCTGAGGATAAAGCCACAGCCTGAGGAAGATGGGGGGCTAAGGTCAATTTCTCCAAGACCTAGATCCAGCCTTCTCCTGGGTACTCCCACCCGCCTGCAACTCAACCCAGCTCCAGACTTTGAAGACCTCGAATCTATCTATTCTAAAAGGTACCCACCCAATGTTCCGACCTCAGTCTTCCACGCCCTCATCTCCACCCCCACCCCTCAGTGCTTCGTCAATCTCTAAGTTCCGCACCCGACCAGCGCCCCTGATCCAGAGAGTAGGCTATGCATCAGCGAAACGAAAATGTTTCGCCACATCCAGCTGTCCTGAGTAGATTCCGGGGTGGGCAGCAGCTGCAGTCCCCAGTGCAGCCCCCGAAATGACGCGAAGGAGGCACCAGCCACAAAGAGTCCCCAGGATGCCATGGTCTGGCAGGTCAGCTAGGCTTCAGTTTGTGTCTTCGATCCCCGTGCCTGGTGGACCGGACCTCAAAGTGCCCCGGCGGAGTCGGGATCTGGCTTTTCCACGGAGCTGTGCCGGGGGCTTCCTCGCCTGCCTTGCCTTTCCAACGTGTTGTAACTTTCCCCTGCTTGTCCACGCCCCTATCCCTCGGCAGGGCAGTGATTGGTTCAGCTGTGGGGCCACCGCCCGTGGAGCCATAGAAATGATGGCGTCCCGCCCCTGCCTGGGGCTAGCGGGTTGGGGGGCTCCCGGGCATCAAGTCCGGCAACCGAGCTCAGACCCCTTCCTGCACAACACTAGAAGTCTTCTCCAACGCCACGAGTCTCCAAACCCCTCAGAGTTCCAGAAAGCGATCTAGTCTAGCCTTACCTGACAGGTCTGGGGCTCCGCCCACTAACTTTCACCTTCTGCTCTGGTTTCCTCATCTCTCACCTACTGGTCATCCTTACCCACAGCCCCAAAGGTAGAAGGCTAGAGCAGCCAAACCCTGAGGGCCCACACCTTGCACCACCTCACCTTTACCTGAGAGCATGGCTAGTTAGGCAGAGGTGCCCTCGGCCCACCTGTCATTCTCTTACATAGTACTTCCCAAACCGAAGAGCGATCCACCCCCGCCCCCTCTTTGGAGTAGTCTTAGGGGATCCCTTCCCAAGTTTTTTCCCCCCTACTGGGAATCTTTATTAGGCAGAGAAGGCAAATGGAAATCACTACTACCACATACCTGAAATGCATCCTCCTTCCCTCCCCAGGCCTCAAGAAAAAGGCCGATTCAAGAGATAAACACCCAGTGACAGCACTATAAGCTTGTTCAGATTCTAGACCCGTTTGGCTTTAAGACACATCCTCTCCAACCCCAAATTCCCTGGAGTGACTGGTTTTGAGCATTTTCCTTCTTTCTTACTCTGAGCCACACCTCCTTAGCTGGCTGACACCCAGAAGGCAGAGGAAAGCTTCCTGTATGCAGAGCAGGTGGGTGGATTCAGCCAACTAAGAGAATGAAGTTCACAGGGCTGACTTCAATGTGGTGAGCACCTGCTTAGCTTGTACAAGGCCCTGGATGTGATTCCCAGCAACACACACACACACACACACACACACACACACACACACACACACACACACACACACACACGTTCAAGAAGCAATAGGTGCCCCAAACAAACATTTTCACCAAGGCACTAGGTACAGCCCATCCTCCTACATCCAATTCTCTGAAGTTTAAACAAAATTACCTCAAGGACTGAAGAGATGATGGCTTTAGTGGCTAGGAGCATTTGCAGCTCTTCTAGAGGACCTGAGTTCAATTCCCCACATCCATATCAGACAGCTCAGAACAGCATGTAACTCTAGCTCCAGAGAACGTGATGTTCTCTTCTGGCTCTGCAGGCATCCACATCAGGTGCACATAACCCCCCACAGACACACAATATAAATCTTTTTAAAATTACATAGAGGAGGTGAAGAGATGGACCAGAAGTTAGCACTGGCTGCTCTTGCAGAGGACCTATGTTCGATTTCCACCACCCATGTGGTGGCTCAAAATAGTCCAACTCCAGTTCCAAGAGGTTCTAAGCCCTCTTCTGGCCTCTGGAGGCACCAGGCACAAGAATGGCGCACATACATGCGTGCAGGCAAAACACTCATACACATGAAAAAGTAAAAATTTTAAAAATCACATTTATCTTTTGCTATCATTTATTTAACATGCAAAAGCAATATACAATTAGTATAGAAAACTTAGAATGACTGGAAAACAAGGGGGAAATTCACAATTGCTCTATCCCACCATTCAAAAATAACCACTCCTAACATTTGAGTCTACTTTGAGTCTTTTTTTTTTAGTCTATGTATTACAAGTATGCACTCTTATTTTAAAACAAATTGTTTAAAGACAAAATTAAGGTCACAAAACTCACACTTTTTATAATCTTTTTAATATTCAAAGAGCATTTTTCTTTCCAGTCAATTTTTCTTCTGCAGGACTCTGGATGGCTGTGCAGCACTCCACCACTGGGATGGATATAATCCACTCAAGCAACCCCCCACTGAGAATTCACGACAGCAGAAAAGGAATGGATTTCCAAACAGCAGAAAAGGAATGGATTTCCAAACATCATCCCTGAGATGAGCATTTTATAACCAAACTCTGATTTTAAGATACATTTCTAGAACACAAAATTACAAGGCCAAAAGACATCTCTTACAATGTTTGGCGCCACTACCCACAACGTATGGGAGTGTTCCTTCTGCCTCCATTGACTTGTACCATGATGAGGGGAAATGCTTTCAGCAATGTCAGCCTTCTTTTAATTGCTTTTTTTTTTTTTTTTTTGAGACAAGTGTCTTATGTAGTCCAGGCTGGCTCAGAACTCACTGTGTAGCAGAGGATGACTTTGGATGTAGGCTCCTCACCACCACCTCCAGGGTGCTGGGATTATAGGCCTGTGCCACCACACCCAGGTCTAGGCAATGCAAAGATAGAACCAGGACTCTGTGCATGCTGAACAAGCATTCTCCCAACTCAGCTACAGCCCCAGCCAAAACTATGTTTTTCCATAGTGTTACACATTTGAGTCTCTCTTTGAATTTGCTCTGTATTTCCTTTCAGAGGTGGCTCATGCTCCTCCAGGGTCGTTATATAGAAACTGCGGGGTAGAGAAGAGACAGGACCATACTTCATTATGGGTCTTCATCTCCAAGGGAGGTAGGTCTGGAGAGGAGATGGCTGGAAGCTTGTCTTTCACGGAGGCTGGCTGTTCTCTTTCCTGGTGTTCTCCAGGCTTCCGTGTGCCCCTCTGAACAATGTCTGGGACAGGCCCTTGTGGCTCCTGGCCAGGTCCTTCACTGGTCTTCTGCCTGCCTCTGTGTTTCCAGGCTGCCCTTCCTCACCTCTGAGGCTCCATGTTGGGTGAAGATGGCAGAGCCATGAGCCCAGTGCTGGAGGGACACACTGTGGCCAGTGGCGTGAGGAGGGGGAGAAGGCAGGGTCGAGGGACAGGGCAACCTTTGTTGCAGCGTCCGAGTAGACTCGGCCTCCCCACCCGCCTCGGCTGCAGTCCCTTACACATCCTACCCTCATCTCAGGCTGCAGTGGGGCTGGCTTCTGCGGTCTATTCTCCCCTATGACTCAGTTTCTCATAAATGAGAATAGGCTAGGACGACTCCTCCTTCTCCTGCCCAGCAGAACAAACAGCTTCCTGTAGCCCCTGAACCCCATCTTCTGGTAGGGAGACTGGGCCAAAGGTGAACCACAGTCAGAGCCCAAGCCCAAGAATGTCTCAGGAGCTAGAGGGGGGCTCCTATCATTACAACCCGTCTCCCCGATGGCTGGAGGAGACAATTTCTTGCCTGCCCAGCACTGAGCTGAGTCTCACTATCCTGGAAAGCAAAGGCAGAAAATAAATGGCAGTGGCTGTTGGGGCCCAACCAGGAGCTGCAGTCTTACTTGGGGTGGAGGGGAGACCTTGGGTCACCCCTGTATGATGAGAAGTCAGCATGGGACTAGCCTCCCACTAGCATTGGTCTTAACCCTAACCTTTCCCTCCACCCCAATCCCCCAGAGCTGGGTGTGTAGTCAGGGGGTGAGGGAGGGACAGCAGTTTATAGGAAGAGCTGTTTGGTTTCCACCCACGGAAAGAGAAGAGCCCAGGCTCTGAGTCAGCACAGGTGGACTTCTGATGCCCTCCTGCCTACTCATCTATGGGACTCCCCATTTCACAGATGGAGAAGTAGACATGTGTAAGGGTCCCCACAGAGGTAAGTACCCCTAAATCCAAAATCTGGACCAATCTAAAAGATACAGAGAAAGGTAAACACACGGGTGACCACTTAGATCAGAATTTCGATGTCACCTCCCCGGGAGTATATTTACTTTGGGACCTCATGTGAAAGGAAAGTTGGGGCAGGGGGTGAGAGAGATATGGCAGGCCTACAAGGAAGTCTTGGTGAACAGGTAGGCAGACTTTCCTTCCGTTCCTTCCCATTGCCACACAGAGATCAGCTAACCTTGGGGAGGTGGGGCCACCTATTCCCCAATTCAGTCAGGGCCTTTAACCTGAATCTCTGGTTGGGCCAGTGCGGGTAAGGGCTCCCCGGGGCACCTTTCCTTAAAGCCATCACCCCAGCTGTCCAGCCCTTCCCAACCCCAGTTCTGTCACCTTCCAGATGGTAGGCAAAGAAGCTGCTCTTCCTCTTCCTCCTCGAAGCCAGGGGCAGAGGGCAACAGTTCTTCAACTGGCAGCTTTAGCTGGGTCAGGACATAAAGCTTGCCACTGAAGAACTACTGCGGCTCAGCCAGGTGAGGGTGTGGGAGGCACAGGTTCCTAAATGGGAGGGAAGAAAAACAGGAACGCTCAGAACAGGGCTGGGGGACAGGGACCCACTAGCTCTAGATGACTTTCAATACCTTCTAATGAGGGGTTCTTGAGTAAGAGGCAAGAGGCTCCTAAATGCACCTCTCTTGGCCCGATTTACAGACCAGGAGGCACTAGCAACCCTTGGCAACCGGCTGAGGACGCCAGCATCTTCAGCATTCAAAGGGCAGGGTCTAGAACCTAGGTCCCAAGTGAAAAAGTAGACTTCAGGTCCAGAGATGTGAGTTCTGCCATTGGCTCGACTGACTTGCTCTTAGTGAGTTCAGCGGGAAGGAGGGGTGGTGGAGGGTTAGAATGGGGAGGAGGGCTAGAGTTTGGAAGGTCAGCAGGGGCTCTGAGGAGTATGAGGGAGAGGACAGCTGACCAAAGGCAGGAGGGGAGGGAGGTATGGGCAGGGTGGCTGGGCAGCTTCCTCAGGACTCTGAGATGCCAGGCATTCCGCTTGCACATTCCGGGTACATCTGGTATGAATTCCAGGCTGTCTGCCGGCCCCTCCACGTCTGAACTTTGTTCCAAGTTCCAAGCCCCGCCCCCACAGTTCCAACGCATGAATCAGCAGGAAAAGCCGGGGCCCTGCAGCATGGCCCAGGGAGGGGGCTGGGGGCGTGGCAGGCTAGAGGGCTGTGAGCTGGAGAGGGTGGTTCTGCACAGTCAGTCCAAGGGCATGGCCACTGCCAGATCGAGGGGCCAAGGAGATTGTGCCTTGGGATTTCTATATTCAGGGAGTGGAAAGATTACGGTGGGGTGGGCGATTTTCAAATTCCAAAAAAGCCTCTTGGGAAGCATAAACTTTGTGGTATCTTCCTTCTCCTAGGTGATCGGTTTCTGTCCACTCCTCTCTCTGCCCGAGATGGCTCTGTTCAGCTACAGGGTTCATTGGCTGCTGAGAGTTTGTGCCAAGCAGGTGCCCTTGGCTGCCGGGCGGGGTGGGCCCAGGGCACTGACCCTCTGACCAGCTGCTCCATCAACCCTCTGGCACCTCGACAGCTTCTAGCCCTACTCTGACAGCCAGGATGACAGGCCAAATGAGTTGGAGGCTGAAACTAGGGCCAGAGGGAGGTGGGGACGTTAGCCTAGCCGGAGGCCGTGGGGAGGGGCCAAGAGTTGGCCAGGAGGTGGGGAAAGAGGGAGCCCAGCGATGACTAACCCAGGCGCCCCACCCAGCCAGCCGGCTTCCCAGGCGGTCATGGCCAAGCCGGGGCTAGGGGCCTCACCACCGGACATACTGGGGGGGAGGTGCAAAGGTGACCTTCTCTCTGTCCAAGACGGCCAGTTAGGCTGGGGGGGGGGTGCGGGTAGAGTTTCCAGGCCCTCCTCCTGTCCGCCCCCCTAACCTCCGCCCAGCCGCGGTGAAACCCTAACCTTTGGGTTGCATAAGGCCTCTGCACCGCCGCCCCCTACTCCTTTCCCCTCCCCCCTTACATAACATCCCGGGAGGGAACGAGAGGAGGGGCTGGCCCGCCCAGCGACCCCTTCCCTGCCAGGGACTTGAACTGGCCCTGACACAGTCAGCGCCGGTAGAAGCAGTGCACCTCCACACTACTCGCTCCCCCAGATTCTCCCCAGGCTAAATGGTCAGCTCCCGGATCCTCAAACCAGAGGGCGTCGGGGTTAGACGTCCCCAGCCCTCTGGTCTCTCATCTTTTCCCCCAATTACCTCTCCAGACCTTCTGCCACGATTCCCGTCCGAGACCCTCTCTTTAAACGTCCAGACACACTACTCGGGCCAGTCCAGGGCCCCTCTCCCGGAAGCGTCCCCGTCCCCGCCGCCCCCTCTCCCCTCCCCCAGAAGGGCAGGGTGTGGTCGCCAGGACCCTACTTTCCCCCATCACCCTGTTACCGCGATTCCCCCCGGAATGACCGGGTCCCCAGATCACACCCACCTGATGCTGGGTGTGGGGGTTGCTGAGGACAGGGGGAGCAAAATCACTGCGTCCTCTCCGCACCGCCGACCGCTCTGTCTCTTCCCATCGCCCAGCACACACCGGCTCCAGTCTCCGATCAGCTGGCGGCGTCGTGACGCACGAGCTGCGAATGCACCGCCCAGGGCCAATCACCGCCCACTGCTGGGCAACGTGACCACACCCACTCAGGGGGGGGCTCCAGCACCTCCGCTTACTCCCGCCCCTCCCGACGTCTGGGCTTTGATTGGCAAGGAGGCCACCCCCTTGCCTGGAGGAACTTCTCTAAGCCACGCCCAACAACTCACCAGCTGGCCAATAGCTGAAAAGGTGTGGCTAGCCCTCGGCCTAGGCCACTTGCTTAGACCAGTTCTACGTCAAGCCATAGTTTAAAGAGCAGAAGGAAGTGAAGGCGTGTGTTTTTGCAGTGCATCTTGGTCAATGAAGTTCTTACGGTGACACCCGGCTTCCCAGAATGCAGCGCGCTCTGTGAGTTGGCATTTTTAAACTGATCTCTGAATCGGTCGCGGGGAAGTCCTTAAAGGGCTATAGCCCCTCCTTCTTGGAACTTCTTTTAGACAACCTCAGAACTGATTCACCAGCCTCCACAGAAGGCCTGAGTTAAGGAAGGTGGAGCTCGCAAAGCAACAGGATTGGGCAGAACTGAAGATGGAAGTCAGCCATCGATGCAGCAGAACTCCCGAGGGCTTCGGGGTATAGGGACGACTGTCAGCCGCGCGGCCCCAGTCTTCACTGGAGATCTAGTCTACCCTTCGTGGGTCTAGTGAGAGGAGTCTTTTCTAGTAAAGGTCTGTCTCGTCCTGGTCGCCGAAGAGCCACGGCTTCTCAACGGGCAGCTTCCTAACAAAGGATTTATATAGCACAGCTCTCACTTTAGAGAGAAGGCTTCTGTTTAGAAATTAGGGGACGATCTGTGGAAAAGTAATACAGCCAGAAACCCCATTCTTTGACTTGCACCCATTCAGTCCGGGCCTCCAAAGCGCTTCACTGACTCAGGCCTACTTAGGGAAGTGATTTCAAAGGTGGAGACCAATGAAGAGGCTGCTCCTTCCCCAGGGGCCAATCAGAGTCTGAAGAATGGGGGATGGGCAAAAACTGAAATGAACCCAATGACTTGGCAAAAGCTGCTGAATTGCTTATTTAAAGGGACAAGCCTGGGACCACCTCATCACTCCCTCCTCACCCTCAAAGAGGAACTTGTGGCCCGGGGTTCATGACTTTTGCATCATATCCAGATTGAGGGTGCCGGCAAATGAGGCGGAGAAATGAGAGGGGAGTCTGAGGTAGCTCCTGGGTCAAGTATGTGCTAGGTGACTGCTAATGTTCCTTCAGACTCCTAAGTTCTGCGCTCAGGACATTGTGCCTTTAAGGAGACTTCCTGCCTTCCGCCCCAGTAACAGCTGATTGTTCGACCCCAGGGGACGAGTCAGCCTTAACCACATCCTCCTCCTTTCAGCCTGTCCTTCTCCGTCTCCTTTGCTCAGATCCGCCCCCCCCCCCCACCCCGTGTCCCCATTGGGTGGTAAGGGAAGGAAATGGAACCCCAAGCATGGAGGGTGGAGGGGTATGGTTTTGTTCTTTCAGTGATCTTTTCTCCATCACTCCAGGATTGCCACCTCCCCTAACATCTTCTCCTTAGTTTTTCAGAGTTCTGAGGAAACTGGAACCGGAGATATTTCTTGTCAGCACAGTCCGTTTGGTGGGGAGGCCTGTTATGGTGGCTAGCTGAGTGTGGGTGCTCCAATAGGCTCTCTGGATGGTACAGGGAAACCGAGCCCAGGCCTAGGGAAAAGGAAAGGTTGTGTAAAGTAAGCCGGGTGGGTCAGAACCCTGTTTCCTGTGCCAGCTGCCCCTTTCTCGCTGTTTCCCTTCCTAGGTCAGGTAGCTGGTGGAGTCCTCTGCCTTTGCCTGCTTCCTCCACGTCTCACTTCTTAGGCGCCACTAATCTTTTATTTTAACCCACCCCCTCCCACAGCTAATGTGCCAACATTTTGTTAGCTCAGGTACTGCAGGTGGAACACACGGGTCCTGGAAGCCAGGGTCGTCTTCTGGGAACTCTTACGGGAGGACCCAGGTGAATATGTTCCCCCAGCTCTGAGCTGGGGGTCAGGGTCACTCCAGGACAAACTTGGTGTGAAGTCCCGGGACTGACTTGGCAGGGTTGGGGGAAATTGAGTAGGGCTCTGGCCAAGCTTGGAAGAAAGAGGAGTTTCCACAAGCTGCCCCATTCTCCATTCTCCCTAGCATAGGAGCCCCATCCCCTCCTCACTCAAGACCCCTGTGGTGGCCCTTCTGTGTGTTATTCTAACCTCCTCCCACCACCTCAAGGCCAAGAGCATGGGCTTCAGGCTGAGATTTCTCAACCTTAGCACTATTGATAGGTTGAGCCAGATAGTTTCTTGTGTACATGGCTGCCCTGTGCACAGTACGACGGTCAGCACTACCCGGGCCTCTATCCTAGATCCCAGCAGCACAGGACCCCAATTATAACTAACAGAAGTGTCCCCAATTTTCCTCTGGGGAGTCCAAATCGACCCTAGTCGAGAAGCACTGAATTAGGCAAACTTTCCATTCCAGTGCTGACTGGCAAGTGAGCTTAGGGATGATATTTTCCTCATCTCCAAAACAGTACAAATCCTAAAGTATGGTTTCTCGTAGGGTTTTAAGAAGAAGTTGTTTGAAACCACTTAGCACGGTGCAAATTCACCGGACCCACGGTTGGCACACTCTTTGCCAGCTTCTTTCTTGCTGATCTCACTTGGCGTGTGCTGGTGGCCCACAGGCAGCTGCGGTTTCCTCAGTGCCGAGCCAAAAGTGTTCTTCTGGAAACACGGTATGAAAGTAGGCAAAGTGGAGTGACTTAATCCTGGGCCCCAGATTCCCCAAAGCCCAAGGGAGCCTGAGCTCAGGAGATAACAAGGTGAGGGAAAGGGGAATTGGGAGACAGTTACAGAGTATTATTTCAATTATTATCAGTAATGGTAGTGGTGGTGGGGCTTTATTCATGTAAAGCACACCACGTGACCCTGAGTTATACCCCCCTGTACTCCAAAGCCTCACTTTTCAAGCTGTGCCTTGAATGTCTGTGCATCAGAGCTACCCAGGGTGCTTGACAAAAGTTCAAGCTCCAGGGTCTCACTCCATACTGAGTCAGACGTGCACCTTAAAGTTAGTTCAGTGGCAGAGCACTTGCTCAGCTAGCATGCAGGAAGCCTTGGGTTCAGTCCCCAAGATAACAAAGCCAAGACGTTTTCTAAAGTTCAGATAAAGGAAGGTGCAGTGCCCTAGAAGCCTGGGTGGGACAGGTCCCACGCAGCCTTGAGAGGACACAAGAGGTAAATTTAAATACTTTCAAGATCATTATTGTAGTATACAGCCAACACCACTAGAGGGCAGGCACACAGACTTAGAGAAAAGTAGTTTTTATTCAGTTTAGATAAGCTGAGACCAGAGCAAAGACCTTTCGGATCCAGTTCTGTTGGTACCAGGGCACAACCTTTGGATCATCAAAATGGTCCCTCACAGACGGTAGTAAGAAGGCACACTTGTTACCTCAGCATTTCAGAGGTGGTGGCCTGTCACATGCCTTTAGTCCTAGCACTAGGGTAGATTGCTGTGTTTGAGGCCTGCCTGGTCTACAGCATGAGTTCTGGGTCAGCCAGGGCTACACAGAAAAACCTTGTCTCAAACCCTGCCCCCCCCCAGAAAAAAAGATTAGGGTCTGGAGAGATGGTTTAGTAGTTAAGAGCACTGGCTGTTCTTCTAGAGGACCTGGGTTCAATTCCCAGCATCCACATGGCAGCTCACTGTCTGTAATTTTAGCTCCAGGAGATCCAACATCCTCACATAGACACATACATGAAAACACCAACTCACATAAAATAAAAATAAACAAATCACGAGAGACAGAGAGGTGGGGAAGGGAGTGGGAGAGAACAAGGGAGGAGGCTGGAGGATCTTGAATTCAAGACTCACCTTGGGTACATATTAACATTCTGATTTAAGAAAAAGGTTCTTTCCTGGGTTCCACACATACTTCCAAGGTGTGTTTGGGGGGGGGTGATAAGCAAAAAGCAAATGGACAAACAAAAATCTCTCTGTCCTTTGGTTTCAGGTTCTCATATCTAACCTGAAGATAGAGAATTTTCATGGGCCATCTTGTTTCTCAGCTGAAAAACAATAATGTCCAAGTACAGGAATACTAGTTTAATTAATTAAAAGAGAATATAAGCAAGCTCGCTTGCCTGCATATTCTCTCTCCCTTCGTCTCTCTCTCTCTCTCTCTCTCTCTCTCTCTCTCTCTCTCTCTCTCTCTCTCTCTCTCTCTCTGAGACAAGGTCTCATTATGTCACCCAGGCTAGCCTGGAACCTTCTACATAGACCAGGCTGGCATGGAACTCACAGAGATTCTCCTGCCTCTGCCTCTGTAGTGTTGGATTAAAGGCGAGCACCACTATGCCTGGCTCTTTCTTTTCTTTTTTTTTTTTTAATGTTTGTGAATATTTTGATTGCATATGTGTACGTGCACCATGTGAGTACCTGAGGCCCACAGAGGCCAGGAGGAGGTGCCAGACCCCCGAAAGTAGAGTTACAGATGACTATGAGCCACCCAGTGTGGGTGCCAGGAACCAAACCCAGGTCCTCTGTAAGAATAACAAGCAACCAGTAAGCTATCTCTCTAGTCCCTAACATTGACTGAAGTGAAACAAAACTTACTGTTTGGAAGGAGTCTGGTGGAAGATCCACCTCAACTCCCCTCCCCATCTCTTTCCCTAAACCTGCCCCTTCAAAGCCTGCCAAATACAGCTCCTCCCCTAGAGAGGCTAAAGACCACTCCCACAGGGTATATAAGCAGCATCCCCGAAACACCCCCCCACCCTCCTCAACCCTGTCTCCTCTCTGCAGGGGTGGGGAATCACCCTGAATGCGTCGGTGGAGAGGCCTTCAGGAGGCCTAAAACTTATCACTTTTTCCCATTAATTTCATTTTATTTTATTTTTAGACTTTTTATTTATTTATTTTTTAAATTTATTTATTTATTATGTATACAGCATGTATGCCTGCAGGCCAGAAGAGGGCACCAGATCTCGTTATAGATGACTGTGAGCCACCATGTGGTTGCTGGGAATTGAACTCAGGACCTCTGGAAGAGCAGTCAGTGCTCTTAACCTCTGAGCCATCTCTCCAGCCCTATTTTTAGACTTTTTTTTTTTTTTTTTTTTTGGTTTTTTGAGACAGGGTTTCTCTGTGTAGCTTTGCGCCTTTCCTGGAACTCACTTGGTAGCTCAGGCTGGCCTCGAACTCACAGAGATCCGCCTGGCTCTGCCTCCCGAGTGCTGGGATTAAAGGCGTGCGCCACCACCGCCCGGCTATTTTTAGACTTTTTAAAAAAGACATTTTTATTTTATGTGAATGGGTGTTTTGCTTGCATGTCTCTGTGCACCACATGTGTGAAGTGCCCATGGAGGCCAGAAGAGGGCGTCATACCCCTTGGAACTGGAGCTACAGACAGTTGTTAGTTATGTGGTGCTGGGAATTGAACCGTGGTCCTCTGAAGAGCCCTCAGTGCTCTTAACCACTGAGCCATCTGCCCAGCCCTTAACTTTACTTTGCAGCTGCATAAAATGATGCATGGAAGTAACTTAAGTAGATCCAGTGAGAGTTCCAGGGCTTGTCCTGCTGCAATGATTTATGGGTTGTCCCATGTGTCTAGTGTGGCTCTCTCCCTGAATGCTTAAGGAGTTGCATCAGAGCCCTCAAGAGGGAGGTAAGATACAGCCAGAGTGGCCATGCCTTAGTCTGTATGATGTTTGAAAATCCACACACTAAGTCATACTAATCTTCTTCAGTCATTTGTAGAACAAATACCAACTAATCTCTTGGCAGTTCACCTCAGGGTGAACTTTAGAATGAGAGTCATTATCATTTGTGCATAGTTTGAGATCCTCACAAGCCAATCAGGTCATAGGGGATCGTTGGCCCAGCAGGCTGACTAAACGTCCCTTTTTCTGAGTCTCATCTCATCCTTGAGGACAGCTCATCCGCGTTATTTTCTTTTCTGTTGTTGCCATGGGGCACCAAGGCCAAAAGCAGCTCCAGAAGGAGAGTTTAGCCAGGAATGATGGTACATACCTTTGACCCTAGCACTCAGGAAGCAGAGGCAGGAGGATTCCTGTAAGTTTGAGACCAGCCTGGTCTATATAGTGAGATCCAGGACAGCCAGGACTATGTAGAGAGACCTGTCTTTAAAAAAAAAAAAAAGTGTTTATTTCTGATTCCAGAGAGGTAAGAGTCCATCCTGCCAGGGAGGCAGAATCAGGAAGCCAAGTAGTACAAGCAGAGAGAACAAACTGGTAGTGAGGCGAAGCTTTGAACCCTCAAGCCTGCCCACAGTGATGTATTTCCACCAGCAAGGCCACACCTCTCTCTCTCACTTCAAACAATACCACCAACCGGGACCAAGAGTTCAAAGGCCTGCGCTTATGGGGAACACTTCTCACTCAGATAACCACTTCATCTCTGGATGTAGGACCACTCACAGGCCTTGTGGGCACACCTGTGTTTCATAGCTGGGTAAATGGAAAGGCGAGGAGACTTAGGAAAGACACCAGACAATGTCTGGAATTACTGCTGTGGTTCATTCACACTTTGGTTGAAGTCATTGATAAAGTCATGATGCTCAATCTGTGAATAACTGTGATTCTAGCACTTGACGGGAGAAGGCTGGAGAGTCTGAAGTCCGAGGTCATCTTCATCTACATAGCAGTCTAGAGATATGTGACACAGTTCAAGTCCCTCATGGTAGGGAAGTCCTGACAGCAGGAACTGGAAACAATCAGTCACATTGGATCTGTAGGCATGAAGCAAAAGAAGATAAATTTGTTTCTTTCTTCAGGTAGGGTAGCATGTAGCCCAGGTTGGTCCTCAAACTCCCTCCACAGTCGGGATGACTTTGAATTTCTGCTCTTCCCACCTCTACCTCCCAAGGGCTGAGATTACAGGTGTGCGTCAGTATGCTGATGCGAAGCACTGGTTTTAAAATTAATTTGTCTGGATTTAAGTTCTGTCTCAAGTTTTTCTTATGTGATCTTTAACAAGTTTACCAAAGGTGGCTGGTTAGCTTCTTCATCCTAAACTAGGTATGAAAGTAGCTTTTGTTTTTTGTTTTTGTTTGTTTTTCAAGACAGGGTTTCTCTGTATAGCTTTGGAACCTGTCCTGGAACTCGCTCTGTAGACCAGGCTGGCCTCAAACTCACAGAGATCCACCTGCCTCTGTCTCCTAAGTGCTGGGATTAAGGCGTGCGCCACCACTGCCCGGCATATGCTTACAATCTTAACCTCAAAAGGTTCCCCAAACTTGAGTTGGTGAAATGGTCCATGAGGCAAAAGAGTTTGCTGCATAAGCCTGATGACCTGAGTTTGATTCCCTGATCCCGTGGTGGAAGGAAAGAACCGACTTTCCAAAGTTGTTCTCTGACGTCCACGTGTGTACTAAGGCACACGTACAGCTGTCCACTCACACACATGCACTCTCACACACAGTAAAAACAACAAACACACCAGAGAGAGAGAGAGCGAGAGAGAATGAAATGAGATATGTAAAGCTTTTGGCAGGTGGCTAACTCCCAGTAAGCACTCCACAAATGGGGAAGTTACTACATATAAGGTCATGTGATCAAGCACATCTGGGGCTCCAGCAGCCCCTGAAGAAGAAACAGATGCAATCTGTCATTTCTAAACCACTGGTGTCTTTTCTTTGGGCAGTCTTTCTCCTTTTCCTCCTTCTTCTCCCCCTTTCTTTTTCAAGTTGGGTCTTGTATAACCCTGGGTGGCCTGGAAGTCTTTACTTAACTACATTGGCTTTGAACTTACAATGATCCTCTGCCTGATTTGTGGTCTTATTTATTTTGAGACAGGGTCTCACTATGTAGCCTTTGCTGGTCTCTCTGTATACCAGACTGGCCTTGAACTCAGAGAAATCTGCCTGCCCCTGCCTCTCAAATGCCGGGATTAAAGGTGTGTGCCATCACACCTGGATTTTAATTTTTTTTAATTTAATTTTATTTTTTTTTGTTTTTTTTCTACAAGGTTTCTCTGTGTAGTTTTGGTGACTGTCTTGGAGCCTGCTCTGTAGACCAGGCTGGCCTCGAACTCACAGAGATCCGCTGGGCTCTGCTGCCCGGCTGGATTTTAATTTTTAAAACCCATTTATTTTTTTTTTTTTTTTTTTTTTTTTTTTTTTTTTTTTTTTTTTTTTTTGGTTTTTTTTTTTTTTTTTTGGTTTTTCGAGACAGGGTTTCTCTGTGTAGCTTTGCGCCTTTCCTGGAACTCGCTTTGGAGACCAGGCTGGCCTCGAACTCACAGAGATCCGCCTGGCTCTGCCTCCCGAGTGCTGGGATTAAAGGCGTGCGCCACCACCGCCCGGCCCCATTTATTTTTATATGTGTGTATATGTGTGGGTGCTTGTGGAAGCCAGAAGAGGGTGTCAGACACTGCCCGGTTTAAGTGCTTTTAAAGGCCTGAACCTCAGCACCAAACTCTTAGGAGACTCAAAACACACACACACACACACACACACACACACACACACACATGCCAGAGCACACAAAGTGGTTTTTTTTTTTTTTTTTTGGTTTTTCGAGACAGGGTTTCTCTGTGTAGCTTTGCGCCTTTCCTGGAACTCGCTTGGTAGTCCAGGCTGGCCTCGAACTCACAGAGATCCGCCTGGCTCTGCCTCCCGAGTGCTGGGATTAAAGGCGTGCGCCACCACCGCCCGGCAACAAAGTGGTTTTATTGCTGGCCTGGCCTGTACATGAGCCAGAACGAAGACCTTTGGAGGGAGACCCACAGTTTGAGCACAGGCTCTCTGGTTTCTGTTCCTTGTTCTGTGCAGAACCCTGCCTGGAGCCATAGTAGCACCTGCAAGGCTGTGACCACACTAGCTGGTTCTGTGCCATCTACATTTTCAACAGGAAGTCTCAGGAGGACATTTTGTCTTATAGAACCCCAAGGCCTCTGTGCCTGGGCCACTTCCCTACTTCCCAGAACGTTGTGAGGGCCAAGTGGACAAGTTACTAACCAAGTAAGTTAATTTCCCAATTACTAACCAAGTAATTGGAAAATTAAACTCCTTGTTTCGCGGAGTAGCATGGGAACGCTGAGAGGGTGCATGTCAAAAGGTCTGGTTCTGCTGCTGCCAGAGCTGACACTTGGCTGAACGGCTAGCATTTCCAAGATGAGCCTCTCTAGATCCCTGTCTCAGAGCCTGCAGGAGAAATCAGAAAGGGGGGAGAGGTCCGGTGCCCTGTTCAGGATGGTCTTCCTCTGCACCTGAGAGCGGGTGGATTGCCCAGGCGGCTCCAGAACCAAGCGAGGCTGGGACGAAGCCCCAAAAGAGCAGCAGAAGATGTGGTATCTTGATTCGTTCGCAAGGGTGGGGGCAGAAGCCAGAGGCGG